TCAGGTTTATAAACAATTTCCAGCCATATCGACCCTTTGGCAACATCCTTGGTCAATCCGGTGAGAACCTCATGAGCCAATCTGGAAGCCCCCCATTCTGGGCTCTATCATTTGATATCACAGCCTAAGGCTCCTGAATCAGGTCATTCTATCCTTGCATCATATTTGTCTTCATTTATTTTGCTTTAATAATTTTTTTTAAAAACACAGTTTCTGCATTTTTTATTGTCCATAAGAAAAGAAAAACTAAAGGAAAGAAGTTTCTTGCATTTGATCCACGAAAAGTTTAAAAGAAAAAATAATATTGTGTTTGCATTCAATCCTCCAGCTCCACTTACCATAAATAGTTTTGTGCATTCATTTCAAAAAACAAATCTGCATACCATAAAATTTCTTGTTTGAATCTTTCATTTAAAAAATAAATAAAAAGGCATATCATTTTATTTTCGTGCCTAACATGTTTGCTTTTGAATTTTGAACTTGCATACAGGAAAAGAAAAGAAAAATATCATGCATAATAGTTTATAAAATTTTGGTCCAGCATACATATTTGTTTCACTTTGGTTTATCGCATTCTTAAACTAAAAACACAAAAAAAAATATCTTTGTTAGTTTGCATTTCATATTTTCTTGTACATTGTGTTTATCATCATATGATAGAGTCTATTTCGATTTTGCATCCAGAAAACCAAAATAAAAATCGTTTTGCATAATTGATTTCATTTCGGTTCAAGTGACATATTTTTCTCGGTTTAGTATTAATTAGTTTGCATTTGGTTGCTTATTTTCGGTTCGACCAGAACTTCCCTGTACTTCACTTGCTCTCTACAAGAGCTCCAAATTAATATTGCTCAATTGCAGAGAAGAAATTAGGCATAAGGCCAACGTCCACGGAAAGGAGAAAAAAGATTTGGAGATGCACCAGAGGTTGTCTATGTCGAGTCCAAGTCAGATCCTTCAAGGATCAAATCAAATCCAACTTCTAAAACCCGCAACCATCATGATGTTACTTTTCAGTTTGATTGCAAATCTTTTACTAATAAAGTTGAACTATTTACATTTACAGAAAAAGAGAATATCTAAGATGGGAGAGGAACCTTTCCAACCATTAATTCCGCCTAACTTTCCTAAAACTAGCTAACCACTCGCAAGAACCTAACGCTAGAGGCTTAAGTTTCTAGCGAGCTGGGGGGCTAACTGTTGGTATCAAAATCGGTCACGACTGAATCAATGGCTAAAAGTCTCCACATAAATAAAAATACGTTTTATAAAACACGAGAAGTTGTTTTATAAAATTCTAAGGAATTTCCGAACAAAGAAAATCCGCAGAAAACTTGGAAACTGTCATCTCGGAGAAAACACGAGAAGTTGTTTTATAAAATTCTAAGGAATCAATGGCTAGAGGACTGAACAAGAGGACTCATAAGGTTGGATCGAAGCAAGGGTCGACTGAAGTTGTGTACTAGTGGCATTGCTTCTTATATTTATGGAAGCTTGTTCTTCTTGTTTCTACTAAACAATTTAGGTTTTGGTTTATTTTAGGTTTAGATTTTGGTTTGTTTGGGTTATTTTGTACACAATTTCAATATATTAAATAATTTATAATATTATATTTTTATTTTTTAATTTATTAGTAATGCTATAATAGCAATTAGTATCCACAATAATAAGATTTATAATTGCAAAACAAAATAAACGCTATTGAATGGGTTATTTGAAATAGCATTTAAAAAATGCTATATAAAGTGCCGAAGAAACGATTGCGGGAGCAGACACATCTGTAACATCCCGAGTTGTGATATATGGAAAGGTTTAAGAGGATTTATTTGACTACCTATGTCACCAAAGTGCACTTACCTTTTCCGGAGCACATCTAACAGAGAACTCTAGAGTTAAGCGTGCTTGAGCTGGAGTAGTCAAAGGATGGGTGATCTATCAGGGAGTGATTTGCGATACCGTGTAAGTGAGGCCAATACACGGGGAAAGGTCAAGTGGTGATCGCAGGGTCAGTAAACATGACTCTAGAACCTTGGAAAATTAACGGACTGACCGTTGGAATGGGATGGGCGCACGGGACGAGTGAGCGGGCGTGGGTGGTCCATTAGCCATGGTCGGTCGGGGAACTACAAGTGGTATCAGAGCTTGTTAGCCCTCTCAGTTCTGACATGGGAGGCGTCATAAGACCTGTCGTGGGGAGCAACGAGGACGTTGCATTCTTTGAGAGGAGGTGAATTGTAACATCCCGAGTTGTGATAAATGGTAAGGTTTAAGAGGATTGATTTGACTACCTATGTCACCAAAGTGCACTTACCTTTTCGAGACAACATCCAGAGAGAACTCTAGGGTTAAGCGTGCTTGAGCTGGAGTAGTCAAAAGATAGGTGACCTATCAGAAAGTGATTTGCGATACTGTGTAAGTGAGGCCAAAGCACGGAGAAAGGTCAAGTGGTGATTGCAAGGTCAGTAAACATGACTCTAGAGCCTCGAAAAATTAATGGACCGAGCGTTGGAATGGGATGGGGCCCATGGGCCGAGTGAGAGGGTGTGGGTGGCCCATTAGCCGTGGGCGGTCGGGGCGTTACAACATCCTTCACCATCACGCTGTGTTTCCCTGTAATAGCGTTTTACTCATGCTATATATATGACATTTTCTTGTAGTGTTTAAATCCAAAGAATGAGGAGATCACAAACCCAAAGAAAGAGGAGGCATCAAACCAAGGTAACTCTTTTAATTCTAAAATTCTGAAAGATCAGAAATGTAAAGATGTCCTAAAAGAGGACACTTTGCTGTAGTTTTCTCAACTGGCCAAGTGAGGCCAAAGCACGGGGAAAGGTCAAGTGGTGATTGCAGGGTCAGTAAACATGACTTTAGAGCCTTGAAAAATTAACGGACCTACCGTTGGAACGGGATGAGGCCCACGGACCGAGTGAGCGGGCGTGGGTGGCCCATTAGCCATGGGCGGTCAGGGTGTTATAAGTGGTATCAGAGCTGGTTAGCTATCTCATTTTTGACCTGGAAAGCGTCTTGAGGCCTGTCGTGGGAAGCAACGAGGTCATTGCGTTCTTTGAGAGGGGGTGAATTGTAACATCCCAAATTGTGATATATGGAAAGGTTTAAGAGGATTGATTTGACTACATATGTCACCAAAGTGCACTTATCTTTCGGGAGCACATCCAGAGAGAACTCTAAAGTTTAGCGTGCTTGAGCTGGAGTAGTCATAGGATAAGTGACCTATCGGGAAGTGATTTGTGATACCGTGTAAGTGAGGCCAAAGCACGAGGAAAGGTGAAGTGGTGATTGCAGGGTCAGTAAACATGACTCTAGACCCTTGAATAAATAATGGACCGCCCGTTGGAACGGGATGGGGCCCACAGGCCGAGTGAGAGGGTATGGGTGGCCCATTAGCCGTGGGTGGTCGGGGTATTACAACATCGTTCACCATAACGTTATGTTTTGCTATAATAGCGTTTTACTCATGCTATATATGTGACATTTTCTTGTAGTGTTTAAGTCCAATGAATGAGGAGATTCCAAACCCAAAGAAAGAAAAGGCATCAAGCCAAGGTAACTCTTTTAATTCTAAAATTCTGAAAGATAAGAAATGTATAGATGTCCTAAAAGAGGACACTTTTCTGTAGTTTTCTCCACTTACCAAGCATTGATAGATACATCACTAGAAAATAAAACAGAACTATCTAGGGAAAGTGATAGTTTATTTCAATCTGATTAGTTGGTTCCAAATTCTTGTATGATACACTTGTCTTTGTCAAAAGATGTGTAACAGGAATTAAGGAGCAATAATTAACTGGAGAAGAACCACCAGACGTCACCCTTGTGATGGGACCAGAAGCTGGTTCAAGACACATTGCAGTCCCTGGTTCAAGACACATTGCAGTCCATGCTGCTTAAAGAAGCAAAATCAGTAAATGAAGTATCAAGTCAAGGTAAGTGTCTAATACCACATTTAGATATTAATACTGACGTGTGTGTTCTAGATATAGGGAGCAAGAATGAAAGCCCTATGCTGACTGAGGTGCCAAGGGCGGAGCTAGAACATGAGCTCAGTCAAAATCCCACACCACAAATGGAAGCCAAAATTTGAGCAATGTGTTGTTCAGATACCAAGGCTTAAGGTTTGTTTCACATTACACCAGAATTTTATTATTTATCTTATGACAATATTAATGCACTTGTCTTGTCCAATAGAATGTGAAATAACTTCAGGAACCAAAGGAGTACACTGCCCAAAAGAGTGAGGCACCAGCAATGATGTTAAAAGATGTTGACTAGAAATCAGTCTAAAGAGAGGCTGACCCAACACCATTCAAAGCCAGCCAAAGAGAGTCAACTCCAAAGAAGACCAGAAACGTGGCCACGCAGGCTTTGAAGGACCATACAGTCCAGAAAAGATGCAATGCCCAAGTTCATAGTAGAGGCGTGATCATTTCCCAACTTTTCAAAGAAGAGACACCAGATGAACCATGCATCACCAAACCAAAATTGTATCAAAGTAAGGTTCTAAACTCTCAAATGAGAATGAAAACTAACTTGTTCTATCTTGGTGCTTGTTTTATAGTTTCAAGGTCGATACTTTTTCAAGAGGGAGGAAATTTTACGGCCCTAAAACCAGAAGTTGAACTGGAGGTCAACCAAGTTGTCCAAACCGGCCACCTTAGAAATATCAGCGATAGAGGTTCAGTCCAAGGCGGATATCTCCACAACCGGAAGGGTTTTTTCTGTGAAACCAACTTTAATGGATTCTACACTCAAAGAAGGTCCAATCAAAATTGGAATCATACCAATATCTATCCGGACCAGGAAAATATGATTTTTACAAACCGGAGGTTCCCCCAGTCAATCCATCTGCGAGTACCTCAGAAGAAGATTCAAGCCCAATGAAGTAGCGGCCCAAGCCAAAACCAATTTTAGAAGTCAAAAGGAGTTTATAAAAAGTAGTTTATCAAAAGGAGTTTATCATATTTACATCTGCTCAATATCTAATGGGTCAGTTCAGCCATATTTCGATCCATACAAGTCAAACCATGAACATACCTCGACTGAAGCCATTTGTTATGTTAAGGAGAACCTTTTAAGAGTCCATATCAAGAAGAAACAAACCCGAAATCAACTCCAACAAGAAGATCTACTTGGTTTACTTAATTTCCCCAAACCGGTCAAACCGACATCAATTTGGGAAAACCTTCAACCAATTCGATCCCGACATCAATTTTGGAAACCTTCGACCAATTCGATTTGGATTGAGCCTAACCTTTCTATGGAAGCCAGGAGAAACTCTAGACCATTCAGAAGGTATCCATGACGTCCTTAGCTGCAACAACATCCAAAGGATCAGGCGGATTCTCTTTGTCATCTACTTTCCATATCCGGACACACCATTTTCTTGCAAGGAAAATCTTCATTACTTTATGAGAAATGGGAAACGATAATATTGAGCCTAAAGAGCATATCAGGAAGACTTACATACCGTGGATACATCAAGAAGATATCAAGATACAAGATCATCACAAGTTTCCCATTTGGAGAAGGCATAAGTTATCAAGCTAATGGCTTGTTTTCATGAGTCATCAAAACCTTTGCTACCAACTTTATTATTTCAAGTTATTTGTTTCCTTTTATCATTTTATGACTGTTAGAGTCTGTCTTTGTCGAGCCTATAAAGCTCCAGTTTTTGTTTCATTGTAAACCAACCCTACTTTGAATTTTATGAATGATTATGAAGTTTTTCTAATTTTCTCAAAATTATTGTTCTAAGTATTTTGAGTGTGTGAGAAGCAGCTCTTGAGCGTCCAGGCTTATTAAAGATCCCTTTCATAGATCTTTGCGGTTTCTATCAATCCACCTACCTTCCATCCCAGTTGTTTGCCAAGCTTGAGACTGATACACATCCAGCAAGCAAATCACCATCTCGATCCACTTCAACATCTCTTGATCAGGCTGGAGTGTCACACGAAATAAAGGAGGGACTGGTAATGCGATGAGGGGTGCTGAAGAGGATGTGCTTGATGATCAACTCTATTGATAGATGTTGAAGAAATAGAAGCTGTGTATAAGGAAATTTCTTTGGAATTTGCAAAAGCAGATGTGACCGAGAACAAAAGTGAGAAAACGGTGCAGCAAAAAGATGGTGCGGTTGAGGAAGTCGATGAGGAGGATGAGGAAGATTATGATTGCAATGAATGTCATAATTTTGTTTCAAGGAACTGCGATTGGGATGATGGGAAGGATGATGAAGGAGGGACTGGTGGGGGACAAAGTGGTGGACCAGCTAAAAAACGAAATGTAAGTGTACGTGATCAGGTGTCTAAAAGAATGGCAGTGGGAGGAAAAAAAAGTGGATTGCTCGTGTAGAAAAGGCAGTGGGTCAGCCAGAAACAAGCAGCGCATTGAAGATTTTAAATCAACATCATCATGTTAGGATTACATAGATGATGGTAGAGACTACATAGGATCCTAGAGAAGTTTTTTTTGCGGTATTGACGATGAATCTAACATTTCCAAGGAATCACTTCATAATTCGCAAGAGCTTTCAGCTTTGGAGAGAATCTTGCAATATATTGTTCTCGTTACACCTCCAAAGAAGCCAACCAGCATCAACGGGAATTTCTTGATGACAAATATTTTGCTGAGTCGGTTCCTCGGGTATGCTTCTGGTTCGTCGAACCCTTGCAAATTTTCATATTGTATGCCGCAGCAGTGGGAAGTTGTTGATGATGATGATTTTGTAGAGTCCATAGAACCCTTGCAAACCAGAGTACCTCAATTTGCTTCTACTCCGTACACTGTGCCTCAATTTTCTTCTGCTATGTACACTACTACCCGAGACACTTCACAACCTTCACAAGATATACCGAAAATAGACGATGATGATGATTTTACAGATCCTGGTCCTCAGTTTGGTTTTGGTGCCCAAGGAGACCGTGGAGGAAAAAACAAATTAGATGATATGTTTACCCGGCCGAAGAAGACATGGAATGACCCATCGTTCATGAATTACCTTACAACATTTGATCTTTATGGATTTAAGGATATTGAACCTATAGTTCATAACGTCCCTGTGAAGGACTATTCTGTGGATGATATTGACGTCAGCCTAGCAGATTCTGATGTATACATTGGGCGACTGTTCAACAGCAAACATGAATTTAAGATCCATTTGGCTATATTTGCTATTAAATATGTTTTCAGGTTCATGTTTCACAAGCATGCGAGAAACTATGTTACAGCTAAATGCTTTGATAAAACATGCAATTTCTATGTGATGGCTAAGCAAATGGTTGAAGCGTCAACTTATCAGGTTAGGAAGGTAACTCGGGCTCATACATGCTCATCCGATGTGAAAGTGAAATTTAAGAAACATGCAACGTCTAAAGTAATTGCTTTCCTAATGAGATCAAAATATGAAATACTCTAGGCTGGACCGCATGCAGTTGAATAACCAGAGACCCTCTGGACTGAGTTCTTGTTTACAGCAACATATTCAAAATGTTGGAAAGCGAAAGAGTTGGTACAATCTGCTGCTCTAGGAACTGAAGATAATTCGTACAAGCTGCTACCCAAATATTTCCAAGTGGTGAAGTATGCAAATACCGGGTCCATAACTGATATAAAATGGAAATGATGACAAGGGAAATACAAGGTTTAAGTACGCCTTCATGGTGTTAAAAGCTTGCATTGATGGTTAGAAGACTCTACGGGAGGTACTAGTGGTGGATGGGACGCACATGTTTGGGAAGTACAAAGGATGTCTTCTAACTGCAAGTGGACAAGACGCAAATTTCCAGGTATTCCCAATTGTGTTTGCAGTTGTTGACAACAAAACTAACAACTCATGGAGCTGGTTTTTTGAGAAGCTATTACAAATCGTAAAAGATGGTTCTGATTTAACGATTGCGCTGATAGAGCTAGTCAAATGTATGTTGCTAAGGATTTATGGCATCCACGTGCACACCATGGGTGTTGCCTCGTACACCTACAGAGGAATGTGGATAGGAAATACAAGAAAAGGAAGCAAAAGCAATTGGTTGGCAAGGCAGCAGAGGCATTCAAGAAGTCCCACTTTAAGAAAATTAATGAGAAAATCAAAATAACCGATAAGCGTTGCTGGGATTATCTTGAGTTAATTGATGTCAGCCACTGGATAAGGTCATATTTTGAGGGGGGGGGGGCACTACAATTCTATGTCTTCCAATATAGCGGATTCACTGAACAAAGTACTAGTGTGTTGGGGTCAAAATCGGTACGACGGAATTAATAGCCAAAACTCCCCGCGAAAAGTCCAAAAAGAACAAGTTTTATAAAACCCGAGGAATAGTTTTATAAAGTTCAAAGTCATTTATAGAACTCGTGGACGGTTTTATAAAACTCGAAGATCGTTTTATAAAACTCGAAGATCGTCTTATAAAACTCGAGAAATCGTTTTATAAAACTCGAGAAATCGTTTTATAAAACTCGAGAATCGTTTTATAAAGCTCGAAGATCGTTTTATAATACTCGAGAAATCGCTTTATAAAACTCGAGAGATCGTTTTATAAAACTCGAGAAATCGTTTTATAAAACTCGAGAATCGTTTTATAAAGCTCGAATATCGTTTTATAAAACTCGAAAAATCGCTTTATAAAACTCGAGAAATCGTTTTATAAAACTCGAGAAATCGTCTTATAAAACTCGAGAAATCGTTTTATAAAACTCGAGAAATAGTTTTATAAAACTCGAGAATCGTTTTATAAGGCTCGAAGATCGTTTTATAAAACTCGAGAAATCGCTTTATAAAACTCGAGAAATCGTTTTATAAAACTCGAGAAATCGTTTTATAAAACTCGAGAAATCGTTTTATAAAACTCGAGAAATCATTTTATAAAAATCAAGAATCATTTTTATAAAACTCGAAGATCGTTTTATAAAACTCGAAGATCGTTTTATAAAACTCGAAGATCGTTTTATAAAACTCGAGAGATCGTTTTATAAAACTCGAGAAATCGTTTTATAAAACTCAAGGAATCGTTTTATAAAACTTGAGAAATCGTTTTATAAAACTCGAGAATCATTTTACAAAACTCGAAGATCGTTTTATAAAACTCGAAGATTGTTTTATGAAATCCGAAGATCGTTTTATAAAACTCGAGAATCGTTTTACGAAACCGAAAAAAATGAAAAAGCCGTAAAACGCGAACTAGTCGCAACTAGTTCGCCCATCGGCGAACTAAGCCGGCCCCGGTTTAGTTCGCCGATGGGCGAACTAAGAAGCATTCTCTAGTTCGCCCATCGGCGAACTAAGCCGGGCCCGGCTTAGTTCGCCGATGGGCGAACTAAGAGGCACTCTCTAGTTCGCCCATCGGCGAACTAAGCCGGCCCGGCTTAGTTCGCCGATGGGCGAACTAGGACATGCCCGACTAGTTCGCCCATCGGCCAACTAAGCCGGACTGGCTTAGTTCACTGATGGGCGAACTAGAGACTTCCCGGAAACTCCGCGTCTTGATTTCCCGCATTCCTGATTCGAAACTTACGTCTTTCGACAAGGCCGCATTCTAAACCACGGCCGAAATATCTCCCGTTCCATCTCGATCCGACTTACCGTTTAGTTTTACGATAAAACCGTAAAACTTCGTTTTCTCTGAAAGAACTCGAGGAAATCGTATAAAATGGCAACGGTTAAACGAAACACCGAACATTGCCTAAACTATAAGATTTATTCGAGATTTCTCGTTAAAATCATAAAAACGTGCTTTTTAATAAAAAACGTCGAGTAAGTCGTAAAAACGTGTTTTTTAATAAAAAGTCGAGTAAATCGTAAAACCTTGCGATTAACTCGAGAAATTTATTAAAAACGACGTCAGATCAGGAAACGATCCCGGAAAAAGTCGGAAAACGGTTTTTATCGCAAAACGGCCCGCAAGGACCTAAAACGCGATAAAAAACCCATCTCGCGATTTCAATGGAATCAAACCCGCGGATTTGGTAACGTTTTGACGGTTTACTCGCAGAAGGAAATAAAATTCAAGTTTAAAGATAAAAGGAAGGTTTGAAGAGAAATAGAAGATTTCCGCAGAAGAAAAGGAAGGATCGAGAAGAATGGAAAATTCCCGATTTAGTCAAATCTGGGCGAAATGGAAAGATCGGATAGCCAAGGCAAGGAGTATATAAAGAGGAGGTCTAGGGCAGAAGCAAGAGACACGAGATTCAGAGCTCTCACCACCAAAACTAGCATTTAGGAATATTTCCGTTTTTCTGTTAGCGAGCTGCGTCTCAATTAGGGTTTTCGTTCTTAAGCTTTTCGGCTACTCTTTTGTAACAGTTCTACGCAGATTCGGAATAAGAACCTCTTTGCTCTCTATTTCGTTTATTTTCATTCAAATTCTAAATTATCGTTTTCTTATTTTTCGTTGTGTGGTTCTTGCAGATAGCCGGTTCCTCTGGAAACTTAGGGTTTTCCCGAAGTTTCCTTTTTTACGATTTATTTGATAGTAGGGTGAAATTGACACCCACAATTTGGCGCTAGAAGGAGGGGGGGGGGTCGGATCTATCTTACTCCGTAGCCGCAACATGTCCAACAAAGAAACGATGACTGGTGACAACCAAACTCGCAACGAACGCGACAACGTTGAAACACCTCTACCAAAAGACGCGCCTGCGGCCAACGCTACAAACGCTAACGCCGAGACCGTCGAAAAGATGCTTTCCGAGTTTAACAAAAAATCGGAAGAGCAAGAAAAGCTCATTGGTTCACTCGCAAAAAGGCTCGAAACCCTAACTGGGAGAACCAAAGCAATTCGCCCCCGCGGAACTACCAAAATCCGCGGAAGGAGACTCGATTTCGGCGCTCCTACGGATCGTCCCAGAATCGATCAGGGAAACGTACCGGAAAAGGATTCCGGAAAAGAAAACCCTGACACGACGCTGAACGAATCGGAAAAATCTCCTATTCGCGAACAGGAGACCGAAGGCGACGGCATCGAAAGGGTCAACCTGGAAACGAGCGACCAGGCCGACTNAAAGGATTCCGGAAAAGAAAACCCTGACACGACGCTGAACGAATCGGAAAAATCTCCTATTCGCGAACAGGAGACCGAAGGCGACGGCATCGAAAGGGTCAACCTGGAAACGAGCGACCAGGCCGACTCGACAAACGAAGACGCCGACGTCCATCCTAGGAGAAGGAAAACTCTTAGTCCTCGACCGGAGTCGTGTCCCGAACGTTCCTTTACTGGAGACGAAGGGGAACTCGACTTCGCACGATACGCAAAAACCGCCGAGGAGCGATCTCCAGTCACTCGCAGCAAAAGCCGACAAGGTCGGAAAACTGCTGGCGATCAGACTGAGATTCGCGATCTCCGCGAATACATTACCAAAAC